AAGTTGCAGAACGTTTCTTCGTACGCCTGAAGCTAGTGCTCGAGAGAAACAGACGGTTGTCCTCGCACAATGTGAGAAGTCTCTCTCCGTTATCAGAGCGGTTCTCATCGAGCGCGTGATGACCACCAAGGTGGCGTTCGTATGGTAACAGGCGGCCAACCCGTGCATTAAAATCCCCAGCAAGGATAATGACATCCGACTTTTTAGCATTAGTCAAGAGCTGTTGTAGATCTCGGTAGAAATCGTCCTTGACCGAGTCGCTACTGCAGTCAGTTGGAGCGTATACAGAGATCACAAACAAGTTGCCTCTCTCTTCGCGTTGCCTGTTGATTCTACATGAACCCCGAAGACGAACTGCACATAGTCGGCTGTTAATCGGGAACCAGTCCAGTAGTGCCGCCTCGGCCTTGCCACTCAGTGCTATACCTACACCAGCCAAACCCGCTGAGGTTGCTTCTGGATCTCCAGAAAGACGCAGGTGATATCTGGCTTCGTGGTCAGTGGAGGATGTCAATGTAAGCACAGTGCTGGGATCTTGCAATCGGGTTTCTGAAAGACAGCAGACATCAATGTCTAGGGAATCTAGGGTGCGCGCTAGACCGGCTTGCTGTCCAATCTGCATGAGTGTCCGGACGTTGAAGCACGCTAGACGGAACGAGGATTGGGGACGAAGGAGAGCCATAGGTTGAATTCCTTGATCTGCGGAGCAACCGGAATCGCAGCCAGATTGTTGAACAGATGAATCGGGTAACCGAAAGTGAGGATTGTTAGCAAACAAACAATTGGCGTGTGATGGAGTAGCGTGAAAGTGAGTAGCAGGAATAGTAGCTGATGAGCGCGTTGTGGTACAGTCCATGGTTTAGTGAGAGGGCGTGATACTACCCGGTTGCCCAAGCCGAAGTAGGGAGTTGACTTAAGGGACTCCACCCCGAGCCTTTGGCTAAATAACCTACCCGCAAGGCAGCGGGGCGAATTTAGGAAATCGCGCCCATTGGGAGGCGTTGACTGAATGATCAGCTCATGCGCCTTTGTTTGGTAGATTACCAAACAGGGGCCCAATACTCCCCATGAAGTCAGCACAATTGCTGGAATACAATGCCCCACGGAGGTGGAACATTGTCGCCGAACACTTTGCTGGAACGGGGTGCACCGGAACCACCCAGCTGGCACCACGGGGAGGTAGTTCGGCAAGCCAGCCAGGTAACCGGTGACCGGACATACATTGTACGTGCTCAAGCTAACGCAACTTATTCAGTGCTATCTGTTGTTCTAGGGAGCTAGCATGATTATCACTATCTAGTATTCGCTTACGCACATCATCGTTGCGGACAAGCTGGTGCCATCCGACACCAGCAATGCTTCGCAGACAACGACGACCAAAGACTTGAGGGCGCCTCAGATCATCTGACCGAAGGAGACAAGTCTCACTACCTTACAGCAGAACGGCCTTCATTGTGGCCTTGTATACACGGACTTTCCGAGGAAAGGAAACTCAATTCTGTCGCCAAAGACGTCGCAGGTTCAAGAAGGCAGTTCTGGCTTTCGCAATGAGTGAGCTGACATCAGTTTCTATGCATCCATCGTTGCTGATACAGCTGCCAAGATAAGTGAATTGATCAACCACCTAGAGTTCCTCGTTAGCAAGGGTCAAGGGGTCATAAAATGGCTGGTGATCCTGCAACAACACTTTGCACTTCGAGTTGCGAAGCGCAACCAAGTGATGAGACCCCTCTAGAGAGCCTATTCAGGGTTGATTGTGCCGTCGCAACATCGTCGAAAAGTAAGACGATATCATCCGCATAATCTAGATCAACAAATCTTTCACCAAGCAGCACTTCAACGCCTACATCGTGAGATTCCGCAAGGGAACACTCTATGATAGAATCCAAGAACGAAATTGAACAAAACCCTGACGAACGCCATTCGTGGTGGGAAAGCTATACAATAGGACACCGTAGACCCTGACGCGGCCTGTAGTGTTCGAGTATAAAGTAAGTAGGATATTCACATATTTCGTGGGAACACCTTTCATCGCAAGCATGTCGAACAGAATCGATCGATCAACTGAATCGAATGCACACTTGAAATCGAGAAAAACAGCTATTGTCGGCCAGCGGTATGCGCGGCGCAACTCTAGCACCTGTAGTAGAATGAATATATGGTCTATACAGCCACGTCCTGGGCGGAAACCGGCCTGCTCTTCCCTAATCCGAGATTCCCGTTCCACAGTGAGGCGACGAACGAGAATCGAGGCCAGTAATTTTGTCACAACTGGTGTTAGGCTAATACCCCTGTGGTTAGCACAGTCTGTACGACTGCCCTTCTTGCATATCGCCACTGTAATCGATTCGCTCCACTCTTCCTTCCAAATACGTTCGAATAGTGTTTTGCAGAGGACGTCACCGACATCCTTAAATAGTGCAGGTGGGAGGGAATCCGGGCCAGCGGCACGAAAATGATTGAGGGCTGTGATCGCGTTTCGGACCTCTGCCTCCGACGGAGGCTCTAAACTAACCGTCCATGGCTCGTCCTGCATCACCTGAGTGGGAAGAGATCCGGGAGCAGGAGGTCAGCTGAACTGATCTTGAAAGTGTTCCACCCAACGAGCTATACGGCGCTCCTTATTGTGTATCAGTGCACCCGCGCTGTCTCTGATTGCCTCACTGATGCCTGGTTTTCTGTGACCAGTGGTGCGGATCAGCTGGAAGAGTTTGCGACAACTGCCTACTGCTCCTGCATCCTCCATTTCTTGAGTCCTACTGGTCCACCAGGCTTACTTGTCAGCACATAGGCTCCGCTTTAGTTCGCGCCTAATATTCCGTCTGGTCACATTGTGCTCAGAGCCAGCCGGGAGGTATCTTCTGGATTCCAACAGGTTCACCGACCTCTCGGATATCCATTGACTGTTGCGGTGACGACTGATAGTGACACAAGAAGATGCTCCTGTGTCGTGCATGGTGGCCGAGATACTATACCACTGATGCTCAGTGTCATTAGAACAAAACAGTTCGATATGCAGTGCGTCTTGATAGGCTTGCCTGACCGAGGACTGAGAGAATTTTTCAGTTGCCAATCGGAGGGAACACTTGGTGCGCCTCCCGGTAAAGTTCATGGAGAAACGAGAACGTACCAAAGCACGGTCAGAGTCGACGCAGGTATTCCAGTACGAGCGGCAATTCAGGATGGAACCACGCCACCTGTAACTTATAGCTATCTGGTCAATTTGGGTCCATCGCTGGCCAGCTACAGGGGGAAGCCAAGTGGCACTTCGGCACCCAGTGTGTCTAAAAGCAGTGCTACTAAGAAACAACTGGTGCTCCGCACACAATGCAGCAGACGCTCGCCGTTGTCAGTCCGTTCGGAGTTAAGACCATAATTACCACCCAGCTGAGCTTCTGAAGAGCTCAGACGCCCTACCTGTGCCTTTGTATCAAGTGCAAGTACTAAAATATCTGAACTAGTAGAACAGCGTTATAGGTACCGTAAACTGGCAATAGCTCTGTACCCCGCTATCAAGGGTGCGCTGGACTTTCGTTTATTTCATGCTCTTCGACAAACTTGTTTGGAAAAGTGCGCCCATCAAGCATTTGAACATTCTTCGCGTCCTGTAAGTGAACATCACATGTGATAGTCCATGGTGAATTAGCAGACGCAATTCCGACAAGAAGTGGTGTCCGTCAGGATTGTACCCTTTCTTCACTGTTGTTAAACTTTATCGTGGTTTCCAGCATGAAATATTTCCTTGCAGGATCTCACAACGTGGGCATTTAAATGCTTCCTGACAGAATGTTACTTGATCTGGATTATGCGGACGACATCGTCCTGCTGTTCGACAGCGGTGAGGCGGTTCAGTCAACGATGGAGACTCACTGGAGTGGTTCTATCACTCGGTATGCGCGTCGTACCCACAAAGTGCAGCGTATCTGCAAGACCACCGCTTACATGATAGCTTCCTGATTCCTGAGCTGCACTAGCAACGATGGGCGAGTGGCTACAGGAGTCAGTTCAGGCATTGCGAAAGCTAGAACATGCGACGTCTGTGGCATCACCGGGTTTATCTCTGAAAGGTCGTGTGTACAAAGCCACCGTGAAAGCCATCCTACTCTATAAAAGTGAAACTTGGTTCATTCGGTCTTTGATCATCGCTGCCTACGGAGCATTACTGGTGTCGAATGGCCCCATCGTGTCCGCAAGGATAATTTGCACAAACGAGTACTGGGAGGAGATGGATTACTCTTTATAGAATCAAATAATATTGTGTAGGTCGGCTTTGGCACGTACCACGTAAACCTGGCCACTGCTTAACAAGAGCCGCGTTTCGCTTGCCCAATTTTGGTGTCACAAGACTCGAAGCATGTAAAAACTGACTCAGCATCGGAAGTGAAGTCACTGACGACCAAACTGGGTGCTGTTGGTCCGTCTCGCGTTCTAGACGTGTACACGACCCGTTACAGAACATAGCTAGCAGTCGGCACCAGTGGCGCGTCTAGTTGGAGTGCCCGTTTAGTGCTGAATCATCCGCAGGGTAATAGCTAATTGTGACGCAGGGCAGTGAAAGCCACAAATATGTCTCGCCGATGAAGTCAAATATTCGCATAATAGACAGATTTTATGACGGAAAGTCATTGACAAGTAGGCACATTGATCCCGAATATCTGTCTAGGGCATTTATGTCTCAAACTAGGTCCCATACTTCGCCTCTTACAATTCGCTATTGTCTATGTAATTATGGTTGCATATCAGCGAAGTGTCAGTTCAAATAACTGCTGCTGTGGTTGTTATTACCTATCAGCATCGCAGGCTCCAGGTCCAGTTCACGTTCCTTACTTGAAGAGTCCAAACGAGGACGAAGTAGATCGTGTAGCTTAAAGTATGAGGTGGGGAACATGTAGCATTTATCAAATGAAGGATCAGACTGTTGAACTATTGCCAGCAAGTAAGCCACTAATTATCTAGTGAATAATGCGCGGCATCACATGATATGGCGCATAAAAACTTACGTAGTTGGCTGGACAGAAGAAGTCAAAGTGGCACGCAGCGAATTGTACTTCGGCAGATGCAGTGTTCGCAATGTGACCTACATGGAAACACAATGAGAAGTACAGAGGATCGATGGCGTTAGAAATTAAGGAGAAAAGCAGAGTAGTCGATAGTACTAACTGATGATTCATCGAGAGTGTGACATGACAAAAGCTGGTGATTTAATCACCGAGATGGTGGAATCGTCAAGAAGGTTACTGCGTCTATCAACGAGGTCTAGATGACTCTTCATCGTCTCAATCCCTTACGCAGACGGTGGGATACTGGCTTATAAGCCAAAAGGAGGGTGTGCAACACTGCGGTACGGCCCGTATCATTGTACGGATTAACTGGGACCGAAGACATTGAGAGAATGGTTATCTTTGATCACATGTGTCTGGGGAATGCCGAGTGAGCAAACTTGCAGCTTACCAATTCGTGTTTGGAACCAGACCCTTTAGTGCCCCGGTGCACGCAACTAAACCCGAAGTAGCTTCATTGCTTAGGTCACATATTTCGTACATCTACTGACCGCCTATTCCTGTGTGGGTCGCTTACCGTTGTTGCATCTGGCTGGGGGTAAAAGTAGGTGAATAACTAAACCGAGTAAGAGAAACGTGAAGAAACTAGCTGAGACCTAATAAGACCTGTGCGTGTCATCCATTCAGATGTGTTCCAGATTCAAACACAACGCTGGCTAGTAACGTTGTCTGATAAGCAGTCAATTGCACCCATCCGTTAAAATTTCAACCCGATGACTAGGATCCATGAATTTTTATATGATCCAATTTTCACCCCCTCTCTACCCCATGCTGAGGCTGATGTTGCATTCATGATGCTTCTTCACCGCAGTTAGGCTAAACCAACTTACACTTAAACTAGGTCTTTTTAATGTGGATAAAATTCATTCCACTTTATTTGGTTGGTTTTGCCTACTTGATAACCTTCTCCTAACTTGCACACGTCGCTCATGCAAATTTTGGTAGACTTGCACAATTTTATCGCGTGGTGTCTTTTAAATAACTTCCGAACATTTGGTACTTATTGCGGATTCATTTATAACCAATTTCTTCCATATGCTCATTTAGCGAGTATTTATATCGTCGTGTGCGTTTACTTTATTCGATATCGGCATTTCGAATGATTGGTTGTTGTTTGACATCCCAGGTGTGGCTGCGCTTGATGTGCATGTTGACAAGGTGTCTACCTGTCTATTACCCACTACCTCGTCCATCTGGCTCCAGGAGACAGTTGGTCGTTGCTGGAGGGGACGGGGTGCACGGTCCCTGTGGTCGTGCTAGGCTTGAAGAGTGGTTCCATGCAGTCAGTGTGGAGCGGACTACGATCCAGCCATCGCCTTGTGTGTACTTGATTCTCCAAATACAGCGTGCTTGTGTTTGCCTGTGAAGGAGTGTGGGCGGGCTCCATTGATGAAACGTGGCTCCCATCCACATGTCTCCCGGTCTCATTCCTTCGGGTTTACACTGCATATGGGGTGTGTAGATGGAGCTGTGGGTGGTGCAGCGCAAGCCATTCATGTAGGCGCGGGCGTCCTGTGACTGGCCACAATGACAGGCAAATCCGAAACCGGATGCCGCCAACCATATATATATATATATATATATATATATATATATATATATATATATATATATATATATATATATATGGTTGGCGGCATCCGGTTTCGGATTTGCCTGTCATTGTGGCCAGTCACAGGACGCCCGCGCCTACATGAATGGCTTGCGCTGCACCACCCACAGCTCCATCTACACACCCCATATGCAGTGTAAACCCAAGGAATATATATATATATATATATATATATATATATTATGGCTACAGGTACGGGGAAGCCCGATCTGGCTCATGTAAGTGCACGGTACATAGTGTTTTGGGTAAATTGATCAGAAATGCTAAAAGGCTCATTCATGTAGTAGACTGGAATACACCATGATGCATTCATCGTCGTGAAATTAGAAGTGGCTCGACTTGCATGACAAGTGTACACGTGGTATATGAGAAAACAGTATAAGTTAAGTCATACACTAATGATTCATCAGAAGTATCAAGATCCACAGCAGTACATCAGCCATTTGAACAGATGCATCGCTGCCGTACAACCACGATGATCAAAGGAATGAAGAATACTAAGGGGGACTTGTAGTCAAACCTTAATGCCTAAAACAAACATCCTGCGCCATGAACAATAGGCCAAACGCGCAGATTGCGTGTACGGTGTTCCAATTGGACAAGAGCGAAGCTGCGAAGGAAGCGATGATCGAACGCAACAAGCCACTTTGTTTGTCGACCTGATGGGACAGGTTTTACAACCTAACAAGAAAATCAAATGCAAGGCTGAATTGTAAATTCAGTCCATCAGGGCGAGACAGATGTGGCGAAGGCAACACGTATCGCGCAGATTGGCAAAAGCACTCCCAGTCTTTGCTATACGGTTCGTGATACCATCTTCAGTCACAGAGGCGATAATGAAGCTGCCCAAGTACTTAAATTTCCGAATGACTTCTAGCTGATCACCACAAAGGGTAAGTGCAGGGTGGGTCCCTGCCAATTTTGGAGAAGGACTATGCATTTCATTGCAGCTGAGCATAGCCCAAAATGACAGACAGCCATGGTCAATGCAGCCTCGATTTCGACAAAGCCCACTTGCTTCTGGCGAATTTGGTTTTCACGGACGCCAGCCAGTCTGTGGAGAACGAAAGAGGCAAGTAACTGAGGCAACAATAAGCAGACTGGTCTATGATTGTCGCATTCCAAGCTTGAGTCGCTTTTGAAAATTGGGACTATTATTGAGAGGCTGCAGTCTGCTGGGACAGTTTCATACTCCCACAGCTTCACCAGTAAATTGTGTAAACCGACCACAGGAGCAGGTCCACTGAATTTTAAGAGACTTGGAGCAAGTCTATCTGCTCATGCGGCTTTATTAAATTTCAACAGTCCGATCTTATTTTCGATTTTTGCGCGTGAATGAGGATCCATGCGGCGGCCCAGGTTGATGGGTGATTAGTGGCCGATGGAGAGGCTAGTAAATGTGACTGATCAGGCTGCCTTTCATAGTATTCTGACCAATGTTCCAAACGTTTTGATAAGCTGTGGATCGGCTGTCAACTGTCGTCGCATATAGTCTAGTTAACATCATGTATGCTTCTGCACGCTTCCTCTATCTGACAGCATAAGTTACCACGGTTACCAACGTTATTGGCCATTTCCATTGCTGCTGCACAAGCACCAAGAATCGCGATCTCCCTTTAGGCTAGCACGCAGTTTCGTCCTGACATGTTCGCTTCCAATCGGAACATGTCAGTGAGCATCCAGAGAGAGACTGCGTGGAGACCTATGACCAGGTAAACAATTTGGTTTGCCACATGAAGACATGTCTGCCACTAATAACATCTGGCGGATATGCGTCTAGTGGTCCTCCAATGTGTATATTGAGCGCTTACTCAGCTCGGATACCAGCGTACTTTGATACGCATTTAGAACATCTGGCTTTGCAAGTTGACAATTATCTATTCGCTCACAGTGTAGTCGCATACGACCACCGAAGCGAACTCTAATTTTGGCACAAACGAGTGCGTGGTCAGAGTCCACGCTTGCGCTGCAAAGCGAGCGAAAGTTTTGGACACACTTTCTAGCGGTAACTGACCGCGATGTGATGGATTTGTATCCATAGCCAGTCGAGGCTAGTGGGCGACATGTCTCTTATGCAAGTGTTGTGTTGGAAGTTAGTGCTAACGAGAAACAGACGAGCATCTCCCCGCAGGTGCAGCAACGGTTCACGGTTGTAATCACGGAAGCCTACACTAGATGCAGCTTATCAGTGGAGAATATTGCAACATTGACGTACAGATCATCAGCAAGCACCACATTCCCTTTAACGAATGTGCTGGTTCCGCTGATAACAGAAGTCATCTTTCGCCGAGTCAAAGTGATGGTTTGTGGTGGTGCAAGCCTCAGCGACTAACGGACCTCGTTTGTCGCCGTGGGACTTCGAAACTTTAAACAATCCGGCCAGTCCGACTTCGAATATCATCATCAGCAACAGCAACAGCCGTACATCAGCCATTTGAACTGATGCTTCGCTGGCATAAATCCATGATGACCTATGAAATAAAGAACACTAAGTGGGACAGCAGGGGGACTTACTGAAGAACCTTAGTAGGCAAAGCAAGCATTCAATGTTAAAGAGCCTACACCTTGTCAACAAGAGACGGTCGCAAACAGCTGGCTATCGTGCAGATAAGGCGGCGTCAGCGAGACAGATTCCTTGCAGCTTCCACTGCCCCGCGTCATAATCAGCGATTACCGCCAGATAACTCAGCATCAAACACACGTTAAGCAGACATTCCGACTAGGAGACGGCAGCAGACGGATCACTGGCGCCGACTGCGAGCCATGTCCTGTAAAGTCTCGAGCCAAGCACAAGGCGAATGACGTGGACTCCAGCCCGGAAGGCGATACGGACCAACGGCACCCAGTTTGGTCGTCAATTACTTCATTTCCCGCTGTCAAGTCAAGTTCTGTCCACCTCGACCCTTGTGCCACCATACACCTAGCAGATTAAACAAGGCCCTCCAAGGTAACCGGACATAGATTGTACGTGCTCAAGCTAACGCAACATTTTAAGTACTACATGTTGTTCTAAAGAACAAACTTGGTTATCACTATCTAGTACTCGCCTACACACATCATCGTTGCGTACACGCCGGTGCCACCTGACATCAGCAATGCTTCGCAGACAACGACGACCAAAGACTTAAAGGCGAATCAGATCATCAGACCGAAGGAGACAAGTCTCACTACCTTAGAGCAGGGCGGCCCTCACTGTGGCCATGTAAACATGGCCTATTAGACGGAGGAAAATCACTTTTGTCGCAGGTTCGAGAAAGCAGTTCTGGTTTTTGCAATGCGTGAACTGACTTCAGATGCAATGCGTCCATCATTGCTGATGCAGCTGCCAAGGTAAGCGAATCGATCAACCACCTCGAGTTCCTCCTTAGCAAAGGTCAAGGGGTCATAAAGTGGCTGGTGGTCCTG